TTGGTCGTCACAACGATCCACTCACAATTCCTTTTTTGGTTTTGTGAATGGTACGTGACGGCAGGAGAAGCGGGGGCCTTGGCTTAACCGCCTGGGCCAAGAGTATGGCGACTCTATAAAATCGCCCTCCAATCCTAAGCTATGGTGCGCGGCGATGGGATGCATGGTTGGGGGAGAAGGCCCAATCCCAAGCGACCACCTCCGGGGCACCTGCCGAACCCCCGGAGTATTAGGCTTACCCGGGTAAGGCGGCTCTGCCCGGGTGGACCTTTATTTCCGACCTACGCGTGGGAATTATATGGATTCACAAATTAAAACGGGGATGGGACGGGTTGTTTCGGTTGGGGAGGACGAAGACGGTGCTGGGGCTGGAGTGACGGTGCTCGCGCCTCACTCAGCGCCTGGCCTGGCTTCGTGGAAGGTGGAGGAGGACGACGAGACTGCGTCAGTCTCGTCCTTCTCCTCCACGAGGAGCCACATAGGCTCCAAGAGGAAGCGGACGGGGCAGGCCGTCGACGGAGTGGACCGGGCGATGAACCCGGTCGTGATGGTGAGTTGCCTCAGGGACGAGGTGACCGAGGAGATATCCGAGAGGATCTCCTCGTCCCTGAGGCGGGTGGAGAAGGTGGCCGCGGCCTGCTCCTTGAAGGGGCAGAAGACCTGCGGGGCAGACCCCCTTAGGGTAGCGGCCCAGAGGATGAGGGAGGCGACGCAGGAGTTGTGTGGGCGAAATGCCCGGCTGCAGCTCCAGGTGGAGGAGGAGCGACGGGGGAGGATGAGGGCAGAGGCGCGCTGGAACAGCGCAGCCCTCCCTCCTATCCTCCCTCCTCCTCCACCTCCACCACCACGACCCACGGTCGTGGAAAAAAAGCGGAGTGCGGCGGCGGTGTTGCGGGGACCTTCCACCCGCACTCCGCCCGCGCAGAGTTCCCCATTCTCCTCAGAGGACGAACTTCTGAGGAGGATCGGGAACATGATCGACGGCAAGCTGGCCGCCTTCCGGGAGGAGCTCCTCACGGAGGTGTGGTCGGCGTGAAGGCGGTGCCTCCCCGACCAAGGTCGGTTCGGCTGCGGGGCGAAGGTGAGGGCCCACCGCGGGAGCCAGTGCTCGGCGGCCCCCCACGTGCCCGTATGTGCGGACTGGGGTGCGCGCCGTCCCCAGGGGGGGAGCATAAAAGTGCTTCCCCCCTCCCGGAAGGGGAAGAAGAAGGGGCCCACCCCGGTTCAGGCACCGCGGTCGCTGGCAGCGTCCACAATGGAGGTGGACGGTGCCACGGGGACGGACAGCCGGGAGGAGGCTGGGACGGCCGTTAAATAACGGCGCCCCGCCTCCTCCTCCAGGCCAATCTCAACCACTGCCGCGCGGCACAGGACATGATGTCCCAAGTCCTCGCGGAGTGGGGGGTTGGCCTGGCGGTCGCCGCCGAGCCGTACCGCGTGCCTGATCACCCACATTGGGTGGGCGACGCGGACGGTTTGGTGGCGACGGTATGGGGAGGTGGCGACGGGTCCCCGCCGTTCTCCATTCTGGAGCGCGGTCGGGGTTTCGTCGCCGTGGACTGGGGGGGAGTCGCCGTAGTGGGGTGCTACATCTCGCCCCGCAGCGGTCACGCCGCGTTCGAGCTGTACTTGGCCGAGGTCGCGGCATGCGTGCAGCGCTGCGCGGCCCGGCCGGTGCTGGTCCTGGGGGACTTTAACGCCAAGTCGGTGGCTTGGGGATCCCCTAGGACCACCGTTCGCGGCGGGATCCTGGGCGACTGGGCGGCGGGGCTCGACCTTCGGTTACTGAACCGGGGGTCGGAGCACACGTGCGTGCGGCGATATGGGGGGTCCATCGTGGATGTTGGATTCTCGACCCCCAACGCCGTGCGCATGGTGTCGGGTTGGCAGGTGGTCCCGGGGGCAGAGACACTCTCCGATCACAGGTATATCCGGATGGAGGTCTCTGCCGCCGGGGCTGCATCCCGGCACCACCGCCCGGATGGCACCCCACCGCGCCGCTGGGCGCTTCGGCGCCTGGACAAGGACGCCCTGATGGCAGCTGCCCTCGCTGCAACTTGGCCGCAGGTGGCGGCCGAGTTGCCAAGCATGGAGGAGGAGGCTGCCCGGCTCGGGGTACTAGTCGCAAACATTTGCGACGCGTCGATGCCCCGGGTCGGGCGAGCTTCTCCTCGCCGGGCGGTGTACTGGTGGTCGGCCGCGATCGCGGAATTGCGGGTCGCGAGTGTCCGCGCCCGACGCCAGTACGCCCGCGCGCGCCGTCGTCTACGACCGGACGATGGCGTGGCGCGAGCGAGGGCAGATGACCTGTATGAGGCATACCGGATGGCGCGGGTTGCTCTGCAGGTCGCCATCAAACGGGCCAAGACCCGGGCATGGAAGGATCTCCTCCAGACCCTCGATGACGATCCTTGGGGCGCCCGTACAGGGTGGTGCTGAAGAAGCTCCGCCCGTGGGCGCCCCCCGTCACCGAGGGTCTTGACCCCCGGCTGCTGGAGGACGTGGTCAATACTCTTTTCCCAATTCGGGTGAGGGGACCACGTCCTCCGGTGGAGGCGGCAGTCCCTAGGGAGTGGGCGGCCGAACTGGGGGTCACTCAGGGGGAGCTGGCCGCGGCCATCAGACGGCTCGGGGCGCGTAACACGGCCCCGGGTCCGGATGGTGTGCCCGGCCGGGTTTGGGTCTTGACCCAGGGTGTCCTTGGGACCCTCAGGGGCTGTGCCCAGCAATCGTCGGCCGCAGTACGGGGCGTAGCGACCCCGAGGTACCTGAAGCTAATCACACCGTAAGCCTCCTGTTGGTCGTCACGACAATCCATTCATAATTCCTTTTTTGGTTTTGTGAATGGTACGTGACGGCAGGAGAAACGGGGGCCTTGGCTTAACCGCCTGGGCCAAGAGTATGGCGACTCTATAAAATCGCCCTCCAATCCTAAGCTATGGTGCGCGGCGATGGGATGCATGGTTGGGGGAGAAGGCCCAATCCCAAGCGACCACCTCCGGGGCACCTGCCGAACCCCCGGAGTATTAGGCTTACCCGGGTAAGGCGGCTCTGCCCGGGTGGACCTTTATTTCCGACCTACTCGTGGGATTCATATGGATTTTCAAAATAAAACGGGGATGGGACGGGTTATATTGGAGGGGAGGACGATGACGGTGTTGGGGCTAGGGGTGACGGCGCTCGCGCCTCACTCAGCGCCTGGCCCGGCTTCGTGGAAGGTGGAGGAGGACGACGAGACTGCGTCAGTCTCGTCCTTCTCCTCCACGAGGAGCCACAAGAGGAAGCGGACGGGGCAGGCCGTCGACGGAGTGGACCGGGCGATGAACCCGGTCGTGATGGTGAGTTGCCTCAGGGACGAGGTAACCGAGGAGATATCCGAGAGGATCTCCTCGTCCCTGAGGCGGGTGGAGAAGGTGGCCGCTGGCTGCTCGTTGAAGGGGCACAAGACCTGCGGGGCAGACCCCCTTAGGGAAGCGGCCCAGAGGATGAGGGAGGCGACGCAGGAGTTGTGTGGGCGAAATGAACGGCTGCAGCTCCAGGTGGAGGAGGAGCGACGGGGGAGGATGAGGGCAGAGCCGCGCTGGAACAGCGCAGCCCTCCCTCCTATCCTCCCTCCTCCTCCACCTCCACCACCACGACCCACGGGCGTGGAAAAAAAGCGGAGTGCGGCGGCGGTGTTGCGGGGACCTTCCACCCGCACTCCGCCCGCGAAGAGTTCCCCATTCTCCTCAGAGGACGAACTTCTGAGGAGGATCTGGAACATGATCGATGGTAAGCTGGCCGCCTTCCAGGAGGAGCTCCTCCACGGAGGTGCGGTCAGCAACAACAAGAACGTGCTGCCTCCCCGACCAAAGTCGGTTCAGGCGGGGAAGGCTAAGGTGGGGAGAGGGAAGGCTCCACCCACCGTGGCCGTTCCGGTGCCCCGGGTCGCGGTCCCCCAGGGGGGTAGTGTACCCGCGGCCCCGGTGCGCGCGTCCTCCGCGGCACCATCCCAAGGGGGGGTGTCGTGGAGCGAGGTGGTAGGGCGGAAGGCGAAGAGGGCGGCGAGGAAGGCCTGCCTCGCCGCCCGCGGCCAAGGGAAATGCCGCGAAGGTGCGACCAGGGCGCCCCCCTAAAACGGCAGCAGTGACGCTGACCGTTTCTCAGGGGGGCGGCCTGACACTCGCGGGGGCGATGCAGCTCGCCAGGGATAATATATCCCTGGAGGAGCTTGGCATCGCTTCCGTGAGGGCGAAGAGGGCCGTGACCGGGGGTCTCCTGCTGGAGATCCCTGGTCCAGAGGGCGGCGAGAAGGCGGACCGACTCGCCCAGAGGCTCCAGGAGCAGCTGGGCGAGCGGGGTGTCCGAGTCGTCCGGCCCACGAAGCGCACAGAGATGCGCATATGTGGGTTGGACGACTCGGTCACCGCGCAGGAGGTGTCCTGTGCCCTAGCGAGGGCGGGTGATTGCCCCGAGGGAGACGTGCGGGTCGGAGAAATCCGCAGGTCTCCTTCCGGCCTGGGGTCGGTGTGGGCCCGGTGTCCCCTCTCCGCCGCCCGAAAGGTGGCGGAATCCGGGAGGGTATTGGTGGGGTGGGTTTCGGCGCGAGTGGAGATACTCGCGCCGCGGCCACTCCAGTGTCACCGCTGCCTCGAGCTGGGGCACGTGAGGCAGTGGTGCACCTCGCCGGTGGACCGCAGCGGTCAGTGTTACCGCTGCGGGGCGAATGACCACCGCGCGAGCCAGTGCTCGGCGGCCCCCCACTGCCCGCTATGTGCGGACATGGGGAGGCCAGCCGATCACAGGGTGGGGAGCAAAAAGTGCTCTCCCCCCTCCCGGAAGGGGAAGAAGAAGGGGCCCACCCCGGTTCAAGCACCGCGGTTGCTGGCAGCGTCCACAATGGAGGTGGACGGTGCCACGGGGACGGACAGCCGGGAGGAGGCTGGGACGGCCGTTAAATAACGGCGCCCCGCCTCCTCCTCCAGGCCAATCTCAACCACTGCCGCGCGGCACAGGACATGATGTCCCAAGTCCTCGCGGAGTGGGGGGTTGGCCTGGCGGTCGCCGCCGAGCCGTACCGCGTGCCTGATCACCCACATTGGGTGGGCGACGCGGACGGTTTGGTGGCGACGGTATGGGGAGGTGGCGACGGGTCCCCGCCGTTCTCCATTCTGGAGCGCGGTCGGGGTTTCGTCGCCGTGGACTGGGGGGGAGTCGCCGTAGTGGGGTGCTACATCTCGCCCCGCAGCGGTCACGCCGCGTTCGAGCTGTACTTGGCCGAGGTCGCGGCATGCGTGCAGCGCTGCGCGGCCCGGCCGGTGCTGGTCCTGGGGGACTTTAACGCCAAGTCGGTGGCTTGGGGATCCCCTAGGACCACCGTTCGCGGCGGGATCCTGGGCGACTGGGCGGCGGGGCTCGACCTTCGGTTACTGAACCGGGGGTCGGAGCACACGTGCGTGCGGCGATATGGGGGGTCTATCGTGGATGTTGGATTCGCGACCCCCAACGCCGTGCGCATGGTGTCGGGTTGGCAGGTGGCCCCGGAGGCAGAGACACTCTCCGATCACCGGTATATCCGGATGGAGGTCTCTGCCGCCGGGGCTGCGTCCCGGCACCGCCGCCCGGATGGCATCCCACCGCGCCGCTGGGCGCTTCGGCGCCTGGACAAGGACGCCCTGATGGCAGCTGCCCTCGCTGCAACTTGGCCGCAGGTGGCGGCCGAGTTGCCAAGCATGGAGTGGGG